CAGACTGGGAGACACCCTCAGCTGGCGTAAACAAACGGCTAATCGCATCCGTCCCTGTGGGGTGCGGGTATACGACCAAGTGGTGAGAAGCGAGCAACCGAAAAGACGGGGAATTGTTTTCGCGTGGCAGTAGACCACAATATCCGGCCAACGACCTTGACCGTAAGTAGTACAGCCAAAATAACAGAAGTGAAATAAAAATAAACAACTTGATCGTCGGGCATTCATTCCACAAACTCGGTGGTAATCAATAAAAGAGTGCTGTATATCTATGACGGACTTGAAGCTTATCGAAACATGCATCTATTATGCGTGGAAGAAAGGTAATGCGATCGAACGGAAACAATGGCATTCCTCGAGAGAGAAAAGACTTAAGATGGTGAAATGTTGCTTGAGCGGATTAATCATTGCTCAGCGAGTGACTGATATATGCAAGTTTGATGAGCAATCACAGAAATGAAACCCAGTCGTTACGAGGGTCGACTACTCGGGAATAGGGTCCGAGACTTTGAGATAAGCTGCATGAAAGACAAAATGTGTGGTATAGCCCGATCAGAATAAATGATTTTTGATTTCATCTTATTGTGGTTTATCGGTAACAGATAAATAGAAGAATGATGAGCCCGGGTATTTTGCTTAAATTTTTGAAGCCAACGGAGTAAATTGACCCACACGCAAATAAGTATCGCCATCCAAATAGAGGGAAATTTTCCCCACTACCAATTTCCCGAATAATGTACCCCAACTTATTTTTCTTGATTAATGTGATGAAGCTAGCAAGATAGAGAGATACTTTTTAAATGTAGCTTTGGGGGACGAAAATGGTACGACTGACTGGCTTAGAATCCGTAGGAAATAAAGACAGGGTGAGTAGGAAGTAAGGCTTGTGTGAAAGAGAGGTGTTCAACTTCACATGGGTCTCGATAAGAACAGACGACGACAACAACAACAACGACAACAACAACAAATAGATGTGTAAAATGTTTGAAATGAGTGTTTGATTGACGCTATCCACATCCGGCACTAGCCAAAAAAAGACATCTAGCGAAATGTGGCAAAAAAACAACAAGAAGGGCCCCCAGAAATACCATGGAAAGATTGACACGTGTATAATAGAACGACAACGCCCGAGCACCATAAAATCGAAATGAATCATGATTTTACGAGGTGGAAAATGTCGAAAAAACAAACAGAATATTTCTATTCAACTTTTTGACCTCGTATACACATGACACCAACACGATGGAGGTGATAATTCTACTCACAAAAGTACCGTTAAAGTGATGTTTTGGCATGTTAATGAGGGTGAACACATGAGTCAACTTATTTCCCACGCCCGTGCTTCATTACCAGTCACCACCCATCACCACTATCATACCGGTGGTGGGATTCAAAGAAGTCCACGTTCTCACGTGTGGAGACTCAGGAAACTATGGCAACACGTGTAGGCACGATTGTGCATTAAACAAGGTCAATCGTATACGAAGCAGTCCAACAATATCGATCACGATCTACTTCAACAAAGAAAGACACTGCCAGGATGAATAACCCGTTCGCACACCAGTTTATCGTGATAGCGTGATATAGAACTGCATAAATGTACGCATTGGTTACTTTTTTCATCTAACATATGCATGCACATCGAGGTGAAGGATAGACAATCAACTTGGGTGTAAAATTGCTATGGGGCTGTTAAACGCTGCATGGTCCAGCAAGTTCGACTAACACTTAATTAATCCACCAATCGCGAACCCAACTTTTTGTCCGGACTATTCAGACTTTCTCATTTTAAACAGAAACAGTTCCGGAAAAAATAACATCACCGACATGGTCAATGTCGTATTTTATAATCAAAACAAAGCCATTAAAACTAATGTATCGTGGAGTGTTTTCTTGTTGCAAAACTCAGTAGCTGGGATACTTTTTGGTGTCCAAGCAGGTGCCACAGAACAGCCAACATCCCTAGCCGGTCTAGCGGTTTTTATTCAGTCATTAATCTTTTGTTTATCTACGTTCCCCCAGTTATTCACGTATACAGAGACGTTCCGGAGAGAAAGTGCGTTCATCGTGTATTAAACGACCGCGTATCGTGCTGTGATTACCAGGACCAGATAAAGATTGCGTACCCAAAGTTTTGGTTAAGTTTTCAATGAGACAGACACACTGCATTGTTCGTACAATCGAATACCGAGTAGAATGAAAGAGTAAACCCCATCTTTCACTAGTTTATAGGATGTATATACAAGTTTACGGATAACGTATTGAAATGAAGTATTATGGTATGTGAAAGAATGAGGGAAACATAAATGATAATCGTCAAATAATTCACTAATTGATATCATGACAAAAGTGACCATCACATCGTATTGGGGAAAAAAACTAAACTCACCGATGCATAAGATCTCAGTGAACGCATGCAGGAATTCCAACACCACAAGACAGTCGGAGAATGCCTTGTT